GGCTCACCCGGCGGTTGTGGTTGTGGTCGAGGGACTTGAGGTGTTTCTGGATGATGCCGTACTGCATGGGGATGAAGAGGTCGCAGGCGGCGCAGTGAGCGGCCTCCACCTTCTTGATGAAGTGCTCCATCCCCACGTCTGGGAAGGGAAGAGGAGGGAAGGAATCCCATGGGAATAATCCAGGAATCGGGGCTATGTTAGGGGTTGGAATTCCTCCAGCCTCCCTCCAACCCCCCACGGCCTCCTCCGGCCTCCCTCCACCACCATCACCAGCTCCTCCTCCAGCCTTCCTCCACCATGGCCTCCTCCTCCAGCCTCCATCCACCACCATCACCAACTCCTCCTCCAGCCTTCCTCCACCATGGCCTCCTCCTTCAGCCTCCCTCCACCTCAGGCCTTCATCACCCACTGCCACAGCCTCATCCTCAAGCCTCCCTCCACCACAGCCTCCTCCTCAAGCCTTCATCTCCCACCACCCCAGCCTCCTCCTCCAGCCTCCCTCTGCCACCACAGCCTCCTCCTCAAGCCTTCATCTCCCACCACCCCAGCCTCCTCCTCCAGCCTCCCTCTGCCACCACAGCCTCCTCCTCAAGCCTTCATCTCCCACCACCCCAGCCTCCTCCTCCAGCCTCCCTCTGCCACCACAGCCTCCTCCTCAAGCCTTCATCTCCCACCACCCCAGCCTCCTCCTCCAGCCTCCATCCACCACCATCACCAACTCCTCCTCCAGCCTTCCTCCACCATGGCCTCCTCCTTCAGCCTCCCTCCACCTCAGGCCTTCATCACCCACTGCCACAGCCTCATCCTCAAGCCTCCCTCCACCACAGCCTCCTCCTCAAGCCTTCATCTCCCACCACCCCAGCCTCCTCCTCCAGCCTCCCTCTGCCACCATGGCCTCCTTCTACCATGGGCTCCTCCTTGAGCCTCTCTCCACCACAGCCTCTTCCTCCAGCCTCCCTTTGCCACCACAGCCTCCATCCACTGTTGCCAGCTCTTCCTCGAGCCTTCCTCCACCACCACAGCCTCCTCCTCCAGCCTCCATCCACCACAGCCTCCTCCTCCAGCCTCTCTCCTCCACAGCCTCTTCCTCCAGCCTTCATCCACCCCAGCCTCCTCCTCCAGCCTCTCTCCACCATGGCCTCCTTCCTTGAGCCTCCCTCCTCCACAGCCTCCTCCTCCAGCCTCCCTTCGCCACCACAGCCTCCTTCCTCCAGCCTCCATCCACTGTCACCAGCTCTTCCTCGAGCCTCCCTCTGCCACCACAGCCTCCTCCTCCACGGCCTCCTCCTCCAGCTTCCCTCCACCACCATGGCCTCCTCCTCCAGTCTTCCACCACCACGGCCTCCTCCCTCCAGCCTCCCTCTGCCACCACAGCCTCCTCCTCGAGCCTCCCTCCACCCCGGCCTCCTCCCCAGTCTTCCTCCACCATGGCCTCCTCCCCCAGCCTCCCTCCACCCCGGCCTCCTCCTCCAGCCTCCTTCCACTGTCACAGGGTTCTTCGTCCAGCCTCCCTCCGCCACGGGCTCTTCCTTGAGCCTCTCTCCACCACAGGCTCCTCCAGCCTCCATCCACTGTCACCAGCTCCTCCTCGAGCCTTCCTCCACCATCACAGCCTCCTCCTCGAGCCTCCCTCCACCCCAGCCTCCTCCTCAGTCTTCCTCTGCCATGGCCTCCTCCTCCAGCCTCCATCCACTGTCACCAGCTCTTCCTCGAGCCTCCCTCTGCCACCACAGCCTCCTCCTCCACGGCCTCCTCCTCCAGCTTCCCTCCACCACCATGGCCTCCTCCTCCAGTCTTCCACCACCACGGCCTCCTCCCTCCAGCCTCCCTCTGCCACCACAGCCTCCTCCTCGAGCCTCCCTCCACCCCGGCCTCCTCCCCAGTCTTCCTCCACCATGGCCTCCTCCCCCAGCCTCCCTCCACCCCGGCCTCCTCCTCCAGCCTCCTTCCACTGTCACAGGGTTCTTCGTCCAGCCTCCCTCCGCCACGGGCTCTTCCTTGAGCCTCTCTCCACCACAGGCTCCTCCAGCCTCCATCCACTGTCACCAGCTCCTCCTCGAGCCTTCCTCCACCATCACAGCCTCCTCCTCGAGCCTCCCTCCACCCCAGCCTCCTCCTCAGTCTTCCTCTGCCATGGCCTCCTCCTCCAGCCTCCCTCCACTACCACGGCCTCCTCCTCAAGCCTTCATCACCCACTGCCATGGGCTCCTCCTCGAGCCTCCCTCCACCACCACAGCCTCCTCCTCGAGCCTTCATCACCCACTGCCATGGACTCTTCCTCCAGCCTCCCTCCACCACCACAGCCTCCTCCTTGAGCGTCCCTCTACCACAGCCTCCTCCTCCAGCCTTCATCTCCCACCACCTGCCATGGACTCTTCCTCCAGCCTCCCTCCACCACCACAGCCTCCTCCTCAAGCCTTCATGTCCCACCACCCCAGCCTCCTCCTCCAGCCTCCCTCCACCACCACAGCCTCCTCCTTGAGCGTCCCTCTACCACAGCCTCCTCCTCCAGCCTTCATCTCCCACCACCCCGGCCTCCTCCTCCAGCCTCCCTCCACCACGGCCTCCTCCTCAAGTCTCCCTCTGCCACCACGGCCTCCTCCTTGAGCCTCCCTCCACCACAGCCTCCTCCTCAAGCCTTCATCTCCCACCCCGGCCTCCTCCTTCAGCCTCCCCCCACCACCACAGCCTCCTGTTTTTCCTATTTTCTCTTCCTGGAGTGACTGTGCCCTGGATTCCAGCCGGGAATTTCCGGGTGGGCAATCTCACCTTGCGTGAGGTCTTGGTCCCTGTAAATCTGCTGAATGACGGCGTTGATGTCTTCGATGGCTTTACGGCGCTCCTCCGTTTTCCTGGTTTTATTGGCGACGTATTCCTGGGCGGCAGAATATTGGCAATTAATTCGTTTTCCCTCCCCGCTTTTAGGTACGTTTCTACCACGAAAAGCCCTAAAAATGCCATTCCTCCAAGTCCCGTGGCTTCAGCGCTTAAATCGTCCCCTCCGGCCACCAAAATCTGCCGTGGGCAAGTCCTTTATTTCCTACCAGTGCCACCAGTTAGACCAGTTAGAGGTTAAGCCACCTCCTGAGAAGAAGGCAGCGGAGGCAGAGCTGACGCTTCAGCCCAACTTTCCTCCACCTTCTCCAGCAGTTTCCACCGCGGTTAATTAGAGGGGCACTTTAGGAGCTTTATAGCACCGCCGAAATAATATTAATTAGTAATTAGAAAGAAGAATAATGCACCTCTCTTAAATCTGAGGCTCACCTGGAGAAAATCGGCCGTCTGTTGAGGCAATTTGGTGCCGACAAATTTGAAATGTTCCTTGTGGAATTTACTCTCGAGGTGACTGTTCATCTCGTCGTCGTAGAAGGTCCGATATTTGCATAACGAACAAACAAACTGGATCCTGTCGAGAGAGGGGGAAGCCAAGGGATATTCAGTTCCAACCCATCCCTTCCGGCCCTTTTCTCGCCGGATCCGCTCCCCTCCTGTTCTACTTTTCAGATGAATTCATGGAATTAAGGATTTATGGGATGTTTCCCCAGTTTTTCCCCCCCGTTTCTGTGTCTCTTTTAAGCACGGACAGCGAGAAGACCAGAGGGAGAGCAAAGCAGCTTCTACAAGGACCAGACAAAGCACTGGGACAACTGGGAACGAGAGGACGGACCCCGACTGCGAGTGCAACGTGGCTAAAAAGGAACAAAATAAAAACATGAAAGAGACTTTACCTTTCCACCATGCGATCCCGATGCCTCTTCTTTTGCCTCTCTTGGGTTTTCTTGCCCGCCTGCAATTTGCGTTTGATTTGACTGATCTCTTCTTGAATGGTTAAAGCACCTAAATGTTTAAAGCAGGGGGGATTTCAGGGCGCTCCTACTCGAGGACACCACCCTCATGTTTAAAGAGAATCGCCCTCCGCGAGTCGAGTCCTTCGGGCCCAACCACGACCTCCGGACGCTGCAGTCGAGAAGCTGCTCCCGACGGACGCCCCAAATTGGCCTTTTTTTCCCCTAAAAACTGCACCAGGAAAGGCTTGGGGGAACAACGACAGCTCTTAACGCCATTTCCCAGCTCTTTATTTAAATTACCATTTGGTGGTTTATTAAAATTACCATTTGACTGGTTTTACGAGGTTTTAAGTATTACTTAGTTCCAAGTTTGATTGATTTTAAGTACTGCCCGCTCTGATTTGTTCAGTCTCAAAGGGAACACACCACAGGGAAGATGAGATAAGGTTTTGGGTAAAGGGGGGAGATGGGCATTTTTACCACTTCTTTGTTTACACCATTTATTTTTGGGACAGAAAAAGCTGCTTTTTCTGGGCAGGATCACATTTACGCTGCCCCACGGTGGGACGCCACCTCGCCTGGAGGTTTCTTTCCATCCCCTCCTGCTTCTCTAACGCTCCCTGAGAGGAATCCAGGGGCTTCTCCCACTGCTCCCATCTCTCCAAACTGGGAAACTCCAGCCCCCCCCCAAAAAAAACTTACCCAGAAACCAAATCTACGGCAGAGGGAGGAAATTCAATCTGCTTCCCTAAGCCCCCAGGAGAGCGGCTTCCCCCAACCTACCTTGACCGAGGGCTCCAGCTCCTCCCTAGCAGGGTTTTTACAGCATTTCCTTATCCCTGAGCAGACACAAAGGACGGGATTTCATCTGACTAAATGCAGACGTTAGAGCTGAGCTACTCCCCTGTCCCCCCGGCGGCGGCGATCGGAGGGGTCTCGTCCTCGGGATCACGTCAATGAACGCCCTGGGAAGGGCCCCCCTCACCCCCCAGTTTCTTTCGGCGATAAAATCCCGTTGGTGGGACCCCAACCTCTGGTGTCCACCAGAGAGGTGCCCCCTGGGGGCTCAGGGATAAGTGGGGAAGCTCAAATCCCACCCCCCGGCTTCGTGGAGAAGGGGCAGAGGTTTAGCTCAGGTCACCAGGACGTAACGAACCAGGAGGGACAGCCAAGCCACGAGACAAACGGACTCTGAGAACCAAAGGAGCCTGAAAACCCACCCCAAACAGCCTGAAAACCTACCAAAAAAACATAGCCTGAAGCCCCACCAAAACAAAAAAATACAGCCTGAAACCCCACGAGAAAAAAAAATATAGCCTGAAACCCCATGGAAAAAAAAGTCTGAAACCCCACGAGAAAAAAATATATAGTCTGAAACCCCACGAGAAAAAAAAAAGCCTAAAAACCCACCAAAAAAATTAGCCTGGAAAACCACCAAAACAAAAAAATATACCCTGAAAATCCACTGAGAAAAAAAATAGCCTGAAAACCCACAAAAAAGCGCCCCAAAACCCACAAAACCAAAAAATACAGCCTGAAAACCCACCAGAAAACACAACCTAAAAAAATAGAAAAAAAATAGCCTGAAAACCCACCGAGAAAATGCCTGAAAACCCACAAAACCAAAAAACTATAGCCTGAAACCCCACCAAAACAAACAAACAAAAAAATAGCCTGAAACCCCACGAGAAAAAAACCCCTGAAACCCCATGAGAAAAAAAAATATAGCCTGAAACCCCACGGAAAAAAAAGCCTAAAAACCCACCAAAAAAATTAGCCTGGAAAACCACCAAAACAAAAAAATATACCCTGAAAATCCACTGAGAAAAAAAATAGCCTGGAAACCCACAAAAAAGCGCCCCGAAACTCACAAAACCAAAAAAAACCCACCAGAAAACACAACCTAAAAAAATAGAAAAAAAATAGCCTGAAAACCCATGAGAAAAAAAAAATATCCTGAAAACCCACTGAGAAAATGCCTGAATACCCACAAAACCAAAAAATATAGCCTGAAACCCCACCAAAACAAAAAAACTATAGCCTGAAACCCCACCAAAAAAAAAAAAAAAAAAACAGAAAAAGTAAAAGCCTAAAAACCCACAGAAAACAAAACAAAACAAAAAAAGCCTAAAATCCCACGGGATTTAACTGGGAATCTCTCTTCTGGCCCCCTCAGAGCAGAAGGGGGACTTTGGACGCAAAGGAGCCGTCCCACACCTCAACTCACCTTTTTCTGAATCTCTTCCTTCTTCATCTTCCCCCTCCTAAAAAAAAAAAAAACAACCCCAAACCACAACGTTAAAGTTCAAAGTAGCTGAAAAAAAGGAACGTCTGGTTTGGGGGCTTTCCCAGCTGCTCCAACCCTCCCCAGGCTCTCAAAGCACCCCGAGGAGGAGGGATATTCCCCCTTGGAATAGGGATATTCCCCCTCGGATCCGACCAGAGAACCCCAGCGGGGCAGGAGAAGCTTCTCCACCACCTCCAGGTCTTAATTCCAAGGGATCTTCTTCCACCAAGCCCAAAGGTGCTGGCAAAGAGGTTCCTTCAGCCCCCAGATAAAGTGAGGCAATGGAATCCCGCACTACGGAATTCTTCCCATGGCAGGAAATGGATTTTTTGGGGTTTGGTGGTTTTTTTCCCCACTTCAAGCTCTTTGCACGTGGGTTTTTTATTGTGTTTTGACACCATAAAGCATCCAACACTTCCCTCCACGGAGTGTTTTCCTTCCATCCTCTCCCCTTCACTCCATCCCTGACTCCGTTTGGGAATAAAGTGGGAATCCAGGGACCTGCCCTCAACAGCTCCAGCACCTCCAACCCAAAATTCCCACTTTTCACCCCGAGAAAGTAGTTTTGAAGAGCTACTTACGCCTCTGGAGCCCTCTTTCTCCTCTTTTTCTCCCGATTCTCCTTCCGTTCCCTCCTCTGAAAGAAAAAAACAAAAAAAAGAGTCAGCATCAAGAGGAATAACCCAAATTGGCCACAAAAGATCCCCCACCGCATTGAAAGGGCAACGAAGAAGGATGAAAATGATGGAAATCAGGAAAAGGGGGGCTTTTTCCCCTCCCAAGCCCTTGGCTCTCACCGTTGTCGGAGTCGGAGTTGTCGGAGCCGTCCGTCTTGGCCGCTTTGCTGTCGGGCTCGTCGGAGCTGTTGGTTTGCTTCCGCTTCTTGGCCCCCAAATCTTTCTTCATTTTCTTTTTCTGGGGCTTTTTTTTTTTTTTCAAGAGAAATAAAAAAAAAAGCTTTATTCCCGATAGCAACAGGCAGCGACATCCTATTTGACTAATTTTTTAGCGAGTTAAGCTTCCTCTTTAAAGTTCTAACAGGCAGAGTCCATCAGGAAGGACACAATCCACCACAGCTCCATCCCATAATACTCAATATCAAGCCCTGAAGGACCCCAAAATCCTCCTACCTTCAAAAAAACCCCAAAGTTTTTAGGATTAAAACATCCCACGTATCGATAGCGCTGCGCAATTAAGCCGGTCTCTTCCAGCTGCTGAGGAGAAAACGTGCCCCAAAGCCAATAACAACCAAAAATATGGATTTTCTCTCCCCAGAATGCGTTTTTCCAGAGCCAATAACAACCAAAAATATATATTTTGGCTTCCCAGGGTGTGTTTTGGAGCCCTTGGTGGAAGGACACGAGGGACTGGTGGGAAACAGGCTGGAGAGTTGGGTGAAGAGGAACCTGCTGAAGTCCCACCAAGGGCAAGTGTAGGGTGCTGCCCCTGGGGAGGAATCACCCCACAAACCAGTAAAACCAGTAGAGGTTGGGGGTGACCTGCTGGGGAGCAGCTCTGAGGACACAGACCTGGGAGTCCTGGGGGACAATGGGGGGACCACCAGCCACCAACGTGTCTTTGTGGCCAAGAAGGCTGATGTTCTCCTGGGGGGCATCAGGAAGAACGTGGAGAACCTTGAGGTTCTGCTCTGCCCTGGGGAGGCCCCATCTGGAGCACTGGGACCAGTTGTGGGCTCCCCAGTTGCAGAAGGACAGGGAACTGGTGGAGAGGGTCCAGCCAAGGGCTACGAAGATGATGAGGGGAGGAGAGCATCTCTGTGAGGAGGAAGGGCTGAGGGACTTGGGGCTTTGGAGTCTGGAGAAGAGAAGGCTGAGGGGGGATCTCCTGGCTGGGGGGTGTCAGGAGGACGGGGCCAGGCTTTTTCCAGTGGTGCCCAGTGACAGGACAAGAGGGAACGGGCACAAACTGGGACAGGAGAAGGTCCATCTCAACATGAGGAGGAACTTCTCCATTTTGAGGGTGGCAGAGCCCTGGGAGAGGCTGCCCAGAGAGGTGGGGGGGTCTCCTTCTCTGGAGACATTCAGACCCCCCTGGATGGGACCTGCTCTGGGTGGGGGTTGGAGGAGACGATCTCCAGAAGGTCCCTTCCCACCCCAAATATTCCTGGGATTCTGGGAAAATAAAACCTTGAAAGGAAAACCAGAGACGGTGGAGACGGAGCCATCAGAGGAGCATTTTCTCCTCCTTCCCAACCCTCACCCTCCACCGGGAAATGTTGGAAAACCCCAACTTTTAAGCTATTTATTGATCATTTAAGGGCGAGGATTTTCCAGGAATATTCCAGGGCAGGAAGCAGCGGGGAGGACATGGCAAAAAGCACTTACTTTAAAATCCGAATCCCACATTTTCCAGTTTCTCCTCATGCGTTGTTTCATCATTCCTCCCCCGTAGCGCATGTTTCCCGAAAATCCTCGCATTCCCTGGAACATGCCCAGTTCCGGGAGAATGTTGTGGGAAAAGAGGGAAGGGAGCCTGGAGGAGCCGTGGGGACCCAGAGCACGCGATCCCATGGATTGGGGAGGTTCGTTCCACTGTCCGCCCATCCGCCCGGGGTAGGAAGACCCCATGGGTCTGTTATTCCGTCCGTCTCTCCCCCAATTTTGACCCCGTTGGCCAAAATTCTCCCGGGCTCTGTTTTGGTATTGATCCCGGCGGTTTCCGTAAAAGTTGTCGTAGTGCCCTTCGTAGGCGTTGTCGGCGTCGTGCTCCGACTCGCTGTAGTCGTAGCCGCCTCGGTACATGTCGCGGTCGTTCAGGGAAGACCTGGAGTCGTAGGATTCGTAGGAGTCGTACCTGCAAGAGACGTGGGGGCAAGAAACCAGTCAGAAACCAAGCAAAAACCTTCAAAATAAGATTTTTTGGCTTATTTTTAGGGTTATTTTTCAATATATGGCCACGTCGCGCAACAAGGGACATATTTCATGGGGTGGGACAGGAGATGGACCAGTAAAAATTGGGGACAAAGCTTCACGGTTCCAGATCCAGAGAGGGAGGAACAGGGGGATCCCTCAAACCATCTAATTCTTCCAAAATCAGCCAAAAGAATAAAAAAGTGGAGTGAAAATTCCTCTTCAAAGCTGGGGATTATGGCTTTGCCCCCCAACTCCCAAAAAATGAGCTTTAGGAGCGGCCAACACAAACCAGGAGCTGCTCCTCCTCCCCAAATTCCACCTTCTCCAGAAATACTTCCGGGAAGAGCAGGATTTACTCCTCGGATACTCCAGAAACACCCCAAAAAATCTAATCCGGACCCTTCTTTCCTCACTCCTCGTACACGATCCATCCCCAAAAAGGACCATTTTCCCCCAAACGGAAAAACCAACGTTTGCCCTGATCAATTTAAATCCTTTTTTTTTTTTCTCTGGGAAACAAGGCCACAAAGGATTTTTAATTTTCTATTTCATGATCTCGAAAGGCTTTCTCCTGGAATTTAAGGCTTCGCGATGCTCCGGAAGGAAGCTCCCGAGGAAAAGATGGTGGTGCTGGACTGAGGGACCTCAAGAGGACGGAGATGGGAATTACTGGGGGAAAAAAAAGATGGGAGCAGCTCCCTGGGAGCTCCCTCGAGGTACCTGGGTGGGAGCTCCCTTCCAGGCCCTTAGAAGCTCCCTCAAGACCCCTTGGGAACTCCTTCAAGACCTTTGGGTGGGAGCTCCCTCAAGGCCCCCGGGTGGGAGCTCCCCTCAAGGCCCCTTAGAAGCTTCCTCAAGACCTTTGGGTGGGAGCTCCTCTCAAGGCCCCCGGCTGGAAGCTCCCCCTCCATGCCCTTAGAAGCTCCCTCAAGGCCCCTGGGTGGGAGCTCCCCTCAAGGCCCCTGGGTGGGAGCTCCCCTCAAGGGCTCCCAGAAGCTCCCTCAAGACCTCTGGGTGGGAGCTCCCCTCAAGGCCCCTCAGAAGGTCCCTCAAGGCCCCTCAAGACCCCTTAGAAGCTCCCTCAAGACCTCTGGGTGGGAGCTCCCCTCAAGGCCCCTCAGAAGGTCCCTCAAGGCCCCTCAAGACCCCTTAGAAGCTCCCTCAAGACCTCTGGGTGGGAGCTCCCCTCAAGGCCCCTCAGAAGCTCCCCTCAAGTCCCCTTAGAAGCTCCCCTCAAGACCTCTGGGTGGGAGCTCCCCTCAAGGCCCCCCCAGAAGCTCCCCTCAAGGCCCCCAGGAGTCCTGAGCCTCTCCTCGCCCGCTGTCCCCTCAACTCACCTGTCCCCCCCGGAGCCGTAGTGTCCCCCCTGCATGGCCTCGGCGTCCATGTGTGACACCATGTCCAAGCGTTGGTTCATTTTGGCCATGACGGCCTCGGCGTTGCCTCCCCCCGAGCCCTCGGGGTTCATGTCCACGTCCGAGTTGGCCATTTCCCAGGAGTTGGAGGCGGCCACTCCGTAGCCGTAATTCCCCGAGTTCTCCTGGCCGTAGCCATAGCCGTAACCGTACCCCTCATAACCTGCAATAACAACAAAAAAACCGTAAGAAATCCGGGTTTATTTCCAATTTTTCACTTTTTGCCGATATTTTAATTTGAATAAACGTGCCCTGAACAATCGCCAGGGAGTTCAAATAATTAAAAAAGCTCCAATTTCTTATCGAAGCCGCCCATAAACGTTGAACCCCTTGGGATGATAAAGATTGAAGGGAACAATTTATTGAGAGAAATCCCATAAAAACCACAACCTTCCCCTCTCCGACCCGTTCCGGGGAGGAATAAACACGGCCGAGGCAGAGCCTCCGTAAAAACCCACAGAGGTACCCAAACCCCATTTTTAGCTGGTTTTTAGATGAATATGAAGCCGTCGGCAGCGGGAGGGACGCGGTTACCTTCTCCGGGAGGCAACGTAAGCTGCTTTACAAGCCCTTAAATCCGTAGGGATGAGGCCAGAGCACGTCCCCGACCCTTCAAAGACACAACAGCCCAGGACCAAAAGCAAAAAAACCCTTCCAAGCTCCGCATTTCCACACGTTTTCCATCAGAAAATGACACAGAGGCCCTTCCTCTCCCTAAAGAAGCCAAAACCGCTAGAAACGGGGGAAAAAACCCGCCGTAGGAATAAGACACAAAGCCAATTAAAAGCCTGATAAAGCTTAAAATTCATTTTTTTTCTCCCCCCAGCCCTTTTGGTTGGCTGCTGGAACAGGCGGAGGGAGGTGAAATTCCCCAGGTGTCGCCTGAACGGACTCCATTCCAGTTTTCAAAGTGTCAAAAGGGTTTTTTGTTTTTTTTAGGGTAAACCAACCTCAAAACCCAAATATTGTTTCAAACAGTTCACCTGTAAAAACATTTACAGCAACAAAGGGTATCTTTAGGGGAAAATGACCCCCAAACCCTAAATATTCTACTCCAAACAGTTTTCCTGGGCAACCTTTACAGCAACAAAGAGGTTATTTTAGGGGAAAACACTCCAAAACCCCAAATATTGTTTCAAACAGTTCCCCTGTAAAAACATTTACAGCAACAAAGGGGTATTTTTAGGGTAAAACAAACCCAGACCCCAAATATTTTGCTTCAATCAGCTTTTCTGCCCGACCATTTACAACAACAAAAGGGTTTTTTGGGGGAAAACGACTCCAAAACCCCAAATATTTTTTCAAACCGTTCTCCTATGCAACCATTTACAGCAACAAAGGGTTATTTTAGGGGAAAACAACCCTGAAATTCAAATATTCTACTCCAAACAGCTTTACCTCGCGACCATTTACAGCAATAAAAGGCTTTTGGGGAAAACAACCCCAAAACCCCAAATACTGTTTCGAACCGTTCTCCTGCACAACCATTTACAGCAACAAAGGAGCATTTTAGGGGAAAATGACCCCAAACCCCAAATATACTACTTCAAACAGCTTTTCTGCGTGACCATTTACAGCAACAAAAGGGTTTTTTTGGGGGGAAAACAACCCCAAAACCCCAAATACTCCGTTTCAAAGAGTTTTCCCGCATAACCCTTTACAGCCACAAAGTTTTCTGTCGGCTCCAATGTGAATTTTGAAAATAAATGAAGAAAATCCTCGGTGAGAGGCCACGTCCTGCGTTACAGCAGTTGGATGGTCACCGATCTCGGCGCGTCTCCCCCAGGCCAAGGAAATAAACGTATGCGAAGCGGAAAGCAAGAAACCAATCTGCCAGAAAATGAGCCCAGTTTTTAACCGCACTTGCCTCTGTTCGTCCCAGAGTTCCAGTCGCCGTAACCTAGAAAAAGAGGAAAAAAAAAAAAAAGGCAATTAAAGACGAGTTTATCATTAGCGGGGCGCCGGACAGATTCCGTAAATGAGAGATTCTTGTTACCCGGCCTCAAAAACGGGAGCAACGGCCCCAAAAATCCACAATTTTTGCACCGAATGTGGAGGGAATGGGGTATAAACCCCACCAGAGCCAAACCCTTCGCTTGTTTTACACAAAATTGGGGTTTTAATTTCTAACCGAGCTCCTGTGAACGATTTGCTCCGAGCGGGTCTTTGGGGAGAGGGAGCAAAAGGAGAGGGATCTTCCAGGGAATAAACCTCATCCCGATTAATGCCTGGAAAAGGGGGGGAACGGGGAAGCGTCGGGGAAGTTTTAATCCCAATTTTCAGCCTCTTGGGACTGACATTGAGACGCCCTTTGGGGTGAAAAAAGGGACCTTTGGCCCCCACAGGAAACCAGCCCAAAGATGGAGATCCCGGGATGGGAAGACGCTGGGGTGGGGAAAAAGGAACCCCAACACCCCATCATCCAAAAAAACCCCACTCATCCCCCCCATGTTAATGTACTAATTACAGCCTCGTTAAGCGGGGTACGGCACCACACGCAGGGCTCCCCTTCATTACCGACACCACGGGAAGGCAGTGTTACCTGGGTGATTATTGGGCCATTTCCCTCTTAATTAAAAATCTGCTCTTCCCAGATGAAAAGGTCATTTATTCATTTTATTTTTTTTGCCTTTTTCCCCTCCCTCCCAGCGACGGCAGAAACATCTGACAGGGAACATCGCAGCAAATCCCTCCCTACGCCCCCCCGGGCTCCACAGGTGAGCCCGGACACCGCCCCGGGGGCCAGAAAAGAAATAAAAAAGGCCGAGATTTCAAGGGAAATAAAGGCAAAACCGCCTCTACGTGAAGGTAGGAGGCGAGTTCCAGCCGGAACCTGTGGGAGGAGGAGGGATTCCTCTCAGCAGCCGCCGCCAGGCAGCAACCAGAGGGCACCTCATTAAGGCGGGGGAAGAAATGAAGCCAATTTTTTTTCGTCACGCGTGGGGGTCACGGGTGTGGGCGGGCCGGCGTCAAGGTCACATCGTGACTCCGGTGACCCCACATCCCGGGGGTCAAGGTCACATCCCGTCCCCGGTGTCCCCAAATCCTGGGACATACCCCACCCCCACCCGGTGTCCCCTTTCCCAGGGGTCAAGGTCACATCCTGATCCTGGTGTCCCCAAATCCCAGGACATGACCTCACCCTGACCCCACTGTCCCCAGATCCCTTCAACTTGACCCCGGTGACCCCAGTGTCCCCAAATCCCAGGGGTTAAGGTCACATCCTGACCCCACTGTCCCCAAATCCCAGGGGTTCAAGGCCAAATCCCGTCCCTGGTGTCCCCAAATTCCAGGACAGGGCCACATCCTGACCCCAGTGTCCCCTTTCCCAGGGGTCAAGGTCACATTCTGACCCCACTGCCCCCAAATCCCAGGACATGACCTCACCCTGACCCCACTGTCCCCAGATCCCTTCAACTTGACCCCGGTGACCCCAGTGTCCCCTTTCCTAGGGGTCAAGGTCACATCCTGACCCCACTGTCCCCAAATCCCAGGGGTTAAGGTCATATCCTGATCCCACTGTCCCCTTTTCCCAGGGGTCAAGGTCACATTCTGACCCCACTGCCCCCAAATCCCAGGACATGACCTCACCCTGACCCTGGTGTCCCCAGATCCCTTCAACTTGACCCCGGTGACCCCAGTGTCCCCTTTCCTAGGGGTCAAGGTCACATCCTGACCCCACTGTCCCCAAATCCCAGGGGTTAAGGTCATATCCTGATCCCACTGTCCCCTTTTCCCAGGGGTCAAGGTCACATCCTGACCCCGGTTGTCCCCAAATCCCAGGGGTTCAAGGCCAAATCCCATCCCCGGTGTCCCCAAATCCCAGGACATGACCTCACCCTGAACCCAGTGTCCCCAAATCCCAGGGGTCAAGGCCAAATCCCATCCCCAGTGTCCTCAAATCCCAGCACCGGGGGTCACATCCTGACAGGGAGCCCTAAAACCACCCCAAAAATCCCTAATCCCCCCAAAAAACTGTGTCGCCCCTCCCTGTGTGTGTCCCCCCCCCCCCCTCATTCCGGGTTTTCCAGAGACTCCGTTCTCCCCCCGGCTTCATTTCCAGAAGAATTTAATCCATCGTCCCATATTCCCGGGTACAAGAAACACCAGAATATGCCCCGAAAAAAAACCAACAACAACAAAAAAAACCCCCAAAATTTGGAAATTAAAAAAAAAGAAAAAAAGAAAAAAAATAATATTTCTCCGTTAAAATTCCTTCCGAAATTCGGAAGTTTCGGGGTTGTTTTTTTTTTCCCAAATAAAAATGAATCTCCCTTATTTCTACACAAATCTAGAGTTTAAAAACAGTGGGGAAGTCTGGAACTAGAGGGAAAAACCGGGAAAAATGAAGAAATTCTAAAAGCAACGGTGAAAAAACTGGGGGGGAGGGAGAGGGGGGGGAAGAAGGGGCTGAACCG